ATCATGTAGCCGCTTGAACCAGGCTCGGGGGGCCTGTTTCAAGCCATATAAGGACCGCTGAAGATGACACACATGTCCAGGCACAGCCGGATCTTCATACCCTGGGGGTTGCTTCATGTACACGGTCTCGGCTAAGTGACCGTTGAGAAAAGCATTATGGACATCCAGTTGCCGGAGAGTCCATTTGTTGGACACAGCCAACGAGAGTAACATCCGGACCGTAGTCGGTTTGACTACGGGACTGAACGTGTCAAAGAAATCTTCGCCCGCCACCTGGTTGAACCCTTTGGCAACCAGCCGGGCCTTGTACCGTTCAACAGTCCCATCAGCGGTGCGCTTTGTACGGAAGACCCATTTACACCCAATGATATTCATGTGCGGTTCTGGTGGTACCACCTGCCAGGTGTCATTATGCAGTAAGGCATTGAACTCCTGGTCCATAGCCTCACGCCAGTGTGCATGTCCCACAGCCTGGGAGTAACACGTAGGATCAACCACTGCGTTTAACGCTTGAAACGGCTCAGCAGTGTCTTTCGTCATATGACGCAGGCGCATAACAGGGTCTCAACTCTGAGGCTGAGCACGCCGCTTGCGAGTCCTAGCCGGAGCTGTGTGGATAATAGCTAACTGCGGAGGATCCCGTGCCAAGGGTACCGGTTCACTATCAGAGTGAGCCGGAACAGACGCCGGTGCGACATGCGGTGTAGGGGCCGGCTGAGTGATGGGTGCAGCTGCCCAAGGTAAAGCCGGTGGTGTAGACAGCTGCTGTGACTTGCCTGTAGAAAAAGGGAACCGGCGTACTCTTCAGATTGTCCCATCATATTTGCATCCGGGGTGGCGTGAGCTGTGGCTCCAGTGTCGAGATACCAACCATCAGCCGGAATAACTTGTGGCGCAGCCGGGATCTCGCCGGAGACAGCTACGTGCGCCTGAGCCGGCGGTGGAGTGTTGTACCGTTTGTAACAATACAATGCTGAATGTCCATGGGACCTGCATATCTGGCACCTCGGGCCTCCGCGACCACCGCGGCCGCCACGGTGCTGATTCCCGCCGCGACCACCACGGCTGTTCGAGCCACGCTGCTGCGGCTGTGGATGTCGCCCGCCTCCGCCGTTCGAGCCACGACCAGAACCAGCATAGAACGCCGTGTGAGAGGAGCTGCCATCTCCAGCCGGGTAGTCATCAACGAGTATAAACTCGTGCGCCTGGAGAAAATCTGACATATGCGAGAGGGTTACCGGCGTACCGGATGCAGTGAGCGACGTAGCCAGCGACTTGAGCTCCGGTCGGAGGCCACGAATCACATACAGCAACGCCCCATTAACGACAACGGCCGGCCAGCTTGGAGAAGAGACTCTACAAAGATGCCAGCACGCCTGAGATAATCCGAAGTGGAGGAATTCCCTTGACGGAGGAGCTGCATCTGCCCTAGAAGATTCAGGCACCGAGCCTGACTGGTGGAGCCGAGAGCCCCGGAGATGGACGCCTAGATGTCTGCGGAGGTGTGCCGTCCGAGAGCTAGATGAAGGACCTCGTCCGACATCGAAGAGATCAACAGAGATAGGATGTTCTGATCCTGTTTAACCCAGGCATGGTAGGCCGGGTTTGGAGTGGCTGCTACGGTGGTGGTCGTCGAGGAACCACCGGTCGACGAGGGGCCTGCGACTGTCTCCGGTGGGCACGGAAAACTGCCGTCCACATAACCCAAAAGCTCCTGGCCACGTAAAAATGGAATAAGCTGCATCCGCCAAAATAGAAAGTTCTTCAAGGTAAGTTTCATGGTGACATAGTGATGTGCACCAGCTAGGGGGTTGGTGGCGGCCAGCGAGGGGGCACCGGCGGCCGACGGAGTGTGCTCCGAGGAATTAGATGACATGGCGGATGAGAGAGGGTGGGAGGGGGTAAATTGTACGGTGGAGGTTTGGAGAGGATTCGATAACCTGTCTGATACCAGATTGGAAAAGATTGTTAATCATTAACATAACAATAGGAGTACAGAGTCTATCTATAACAAAACTCTAACAAATCCTAATCGATAGAACAAGCTAAGTCAGCTATTCTAAATACCACATATTAATCTACTATATAATATAACAGAAAATATAATATTACTAACATGCCTAATGTGAGAGATAAAAGTTTAGGTATGTCAGTTGTGGTGTTAAAGGGCATCGTTCTTGTGACTAACGAGTGTGGTTGACGCAGACACTAGGGAAAAAATATGGGCTTTCTATGTATCCTCAAGGTATGTGGTGTGTGTACTTAAGGTGCACCATTGTAAAACAGAAGGCGCGTAGTTACTGTCTTATAGGTGATGCATTTCCGTGCGTAAGTTGTGTTGAAGGGCGTTGTTCTTGTGCCTAAGGAGCGTCGTTGACACAGACAGTCGGAAAAAAACATGGGCTTTGTATGTATGCTTAAGGTACGCCATTTGTGCACTTAAGGTACACCATTGTAAACACAAAAGGTGCGTGGTTTCTGTTGTTAAGGTGTTGTGTTCCGGTGAGCAAGATGCGGGGTTTGTGTTCACTACGTGTGGCTAATGTGAGGAATTTGTAAACTTTAGGTGCGTCAGTTGTGGTGTTAAAGGGCGTTGTTGTTGTGCCTAAGGAACGTGGGTGACCCAGCTAAAGTGCGAAATTTTAATGCAACGCACAGAGTCGTAGAAAAAAAAAAAGCGAAAGTGAGAAAAAGAAGTCATCTTAACTTACAGGAAGACAACACCGAAAGAAAGCGAAAACGACTGGAACTTGTGTAATCTATGTACGCAGAGAATACACAATATGTGTGTGTGTGTGTGTGTGTGTGTGTATGTGTATATATATATATATATATATATATATATATATATATATATATATATATATATATATATATATATATATATATATATATATATATATATATATATATATGCGAAGAAGTGGCTCCGAACACGCTAATGATAGTACAACTCAACTATTGAAGTAAGGGGGAAGGTCAAAATTGTGGATAAAAGGACAGTTACGAAGAATTATAAATGAAAGACTGTAAGGGCTAACTGATAGAAACGAACGTGGTATACAGTAACACCTTCCAACCCTTACACCGCAGGCCCACCCACACAATACCAATCTTGTCGTGTAATGACCTGAAATTGAACGGCGACACGCCAGGAAAGGCAAAACAGGCATGAAAATTGCAAAAAACAACTAACAATGCGCAAAGCACAAGGAGTTCCCGCCGGAAAAAGTCTTGGGCAAAAATTGATTGTCTCGTTATATTATACATAGAGATATGCTTAGAGCATCTCCGTTTGTGGTTTTTTAGGGGTTTTTTTTTTTTTTTTTGTCAAGATGGAAGGGAGAGATTGTGAGATGGAAGAAAGAGAGGGTAAAAAAGAGAAAATTTTGATTTTGCAAAAAGTTGAGGGTCCGTTTACTAACTGAAAATTTTCTCCAGTTTTCTATTGGAGAATAGAAAACAGAAAACAGAAAACATGTTTACTAGCTCAATTTTTCATTTTGAAAACTGAAAATAATTTTCCGGAACGCTCTTAAAAACTGTTTTCTAAATGGAAAACAGAATCATCTATCATCTATTTGGTTATATGTAACCATGGTTGCAAAAATCGCGCCTAGGCGACCGCCGACCGCCGCGAGGAAGGCCGAAATCGGCCTCCTCCGCGGCCGGCCGGCTAGGCAGTCTAGGCGGCCGCCTAGCCGGCTGAACCGGCCGTTTAATTTTTTTTTTTTAATTTTTTTTTTTTGTTTTAAAGTGTTAAAAGTTCGGGAAGGCATAACTTTTGACTCGGTTGTCCGTTTTGGACAATTTTTTTTTTCAAATCGCGTATTTTTCGACTCGGTTGGCCCTCTAATTTCTCCAAAAAATGCTTCTTTTGCTCTTAGTTTCAATTTTTTTATGTATTTAGATGGTTTCAACAATATTCAAAACGATTTTACAATCAGTTATGTAAATAATTTGTAAGAAAAAAACTAGAGGAACCTTATGTTTTATTAGTAAATTTCACAATTTTAAATTTTAAATTTATTTATTTATTTTTTTTTAAAAAAAAAAACCGGCGCGCCTAGGGGGGGCGCCTAACGTTTTTTGCAACCTTGTATGTAACTATAACCACATTACTATGATTACATTTGTTATCATCTTCAAAGTAAAATTTATATATTCATATACATGACATTCAAATCAATATATCCAAAAAAATATTAATATTGTCTAAACTAAATTTGAGGTGAACTTACTATGTTATTGGTTCGGATATATCTTTTACTTTTTATGTTATATATAGATATAAATTTTGTTCGGATATCAAATGTAAAAATCTTACATATATTAGACTTTAAAAAAATTACATTTAAACCAAACATATGTAATAATATTTTATTTAAATATAATATCTAAAAATCACTCGAAATTAAACTTTTGTTAATTTTATAACGTTAATCTAAAAAAAATTTAAATTTGAAAAAATAAGTGTTAGGAAACAAGTTTTCTAAACAAAAAACAGAGAATAAAAACTGAAAAATAGAAAACAGAAAATAATTTTCTGTTAGTAAACGAGCGCTGAGTTTTTTGTGAGCTCACGCGGAGAGAGAATGAGGAAAAAGCAGCGCGAATCAAGTTAATAAAATTTTCGTTACATTCAGCATGCTATTTTTTTCTATTGGTTTTCTCTCTCTTCTCGAGCCATGTAATCCTGACAAAAATCATTAAAAAAAAATGCATGGCTGTTGAGGATGCACTTACCACATTTTACTTTATATTTTACTAGAAAAGTCTTAATTTTCATTTAGTAAAATATAGAGTTTATTTCATTTTCGATCACTCGTCACTCGACATTTCCATTTTCAACTTCAATTTGTTCTATTTTTAATCTTCTAAATGCTCCAGTTTTGGTCTAAAATGGTTTTAAGTAAAATGTGCATTTGAGCCAAGTGCACAAATAAAAGCATATTTCTCATAAGCAGGAGTATATGCAAAAGTAAATCAAATTTGTGATCTAACCAAAAACTTATATAAGAACGTACAGTATATTGTATTTACACAAAACAAACATGTGTCTTTATGTTTGTACCAAACTGCACCTAAACCATGCTTACATCTCTTCAGAGTGGGTGCAGCCTAAAAATGTTACACTATATAAGCCATTCCTACCTCTAACAGAGCAGCATGAGGTATGTTCAATGCAACTGGAGGCTCTCGACAATTTTTGTCGAGAAAAATGTAGTTCAAGATAAGGAATTGCTTGAAAAAGTTTGAGCCTTTACGTACCGATAAGTGTGGCTTGCCCAAGAAATAAGCAGTGCCCCTTTCTCTGGCGTCGATTAGTTCCTGGAGCTCCCTTCTCACGGCTGGATTCACCTCGGGACTGGGTGGAGGCAGAAAGAACCGGACCTTCTTTCTCTTAGGAGGACCAAATCCACTCCCACCGTATGAATCTATGAGAGGACTTCTTTGAGTCTCGATGTCAGCTGAGGTCTGTGAAACCTCATTTTCTTCGATTTCAGTTACTGGAATCAATGCTGCACTTGTACTAGGCCCTCCTAAAGCGATCATCCTTCCTTCAGGAGAGGGCGAGGCCATAGTTTCCTTATCATCGTAGTCATGTTCCTCCCGGGCAATGAATTCCCCGATTGAACTGATAATGTGCTCCTCGAAATCATGTGTGTCTCTCATGTGGTCACAGTACCCATATCGTACAATGCACCTGTAGATTTTGTACTCCTTGTGGCCAACCCTGCCTATAAGGTATCGCTTATTCTGGGGAATGTAAGGCACGGGTAATGGCTTGAAAGACACAAACACCAGAAGTTCATGAAATGCTGGAAGGTTGGTGATGAAATGGGAGAAAAAAGAAGGGATTCCTGTCACAATATCAGTGTAAATAAACCCGATACCTTGTACTCTGTTAACCCCCAGACCGGGGCTAAGATCTGTTAACCAATCCACCGCAACCTTGTTTTCTACATCAAACTCGTACTTCTTAACAGTGCCGTAGTGCCACGAGAGCATCGTCATCATAAAAAGTGAGGTTAGCACAAGTACACACCAGGTTCCCTTGGAAAAGTTCATCAAACTTGAGAACAGGTACATGGCTTCGACAGACCCAAAGGCTAACACAAAGCACAACGAGAAGAATAGGCTTTTCTCCCAGTAGAGCGCGATAACAAGTGACATAAGACAAGATGTGACTGACATCCCAGAAATAACAGTTAAACCTGAAAGAGAATTGAGTTATGGGGTGCACATAGAGACTATTGAAAATAAGATTATTATCTAAATTTACTCAACAATAAACCGCATCTTTCATATTTGGATGGCGAGGGAAACCTCACAACCCTTTCGCCTTGAGACCCTAGCTGGCAAAGGACCACAAGGAAGTAAACCAACCTAGGTTTCCTATAGCTAACCGGCTCAAATCAAGGGGGCACATAGAGACTATTGAAAATAAGATTATTATCTAAATTTACTCAACAATAAACCACATCTTTCATATTTGGATGGCGAGGGAAATCTCACAACCCTTTTGGGTGTGAGTAAACCCCCGCCTTGTGACCCTAGCTGGCAAAAGACCACAAGAAAGTAAACCAGCCTAGGTTGCCTATAACTAACCGGCTCAAACCAAGGGGGCAAGGATTCGAACTCTATTTGGATGATATTTATCATTATGTTAGTATGACCATTATGCAAATTATTCAATTTCTCCTCCCTATATGTATATGTATGAAAACCAAAATAATTTTGGTGATAGATCATTGGATTTTTTTTCATATGCACACCTGTTGCATTTGCAATAGTTGTTATGTCCCCCAAACCGAATGTAACACCTAAACTGAGGACCATTAGAATCCACGTGACATCAGGAATATAAACCTGTCCATATATCTTATCTGATGTGTGTATAACTTTGACTCTGGGGAAGCAGCCCAGTGCTTGACATTGGTTTATGATGGAAAAACTTGCAGTAATGGTTGCCTGGCTACCCACAAGAGACGCTATTAGGGATAATGCCGTGAAAACGTGATGAAGATCTCCTGAAATTTCACAAGTCAGAAATAGAAAATTACAAGTGCTAAATAAATAACAGTAATACGTGATAGGACTTACTACTAATAGGTAGAGATTCACTAAGATGTGTAACGTAAGGTGTTACACCTAAGTGGTTGGAGATAAATGCAGCTTGACCAGCATAACATATTATAAGGACAGGATATATTATTAGGGCAAATGTGACCTGCATTATTCCAAAAGTTAATCGTCAAACCAAAATATATAAGCTATGTCCCCTTGCAACTTGCAACCCGCTACCACAACTGTTGGGCAGAGGCCGATAAGGGCCAAGTCCAGCACCATGTGGCTAGGGGATTGTTGGGTGGAGGCCGGTAAAAGGCCAAGTCCAGCACCCTGGCTCTTGAAAATGTATGGCGGTATATAAGGAAATAAAATTGTGCCTTCGCTACTAGCTATAACTTTTGGCGTAAATGGTAAGGCCGGTAAAAGGCCAAGTCCAGCACCCTGACTCTCGAAAATGTGTGGCGGTATATAAGGAAATAAAATTGCGCTTTCGCTAGCTTTTGGCGTAAATGATAAGCCGCTTGATCCTAACAACAACCCACACCACTAAAAAACCCAAAAACCAAAACTCTGATTGAATGTAGTTGCAATACCAGTCCTCTAAATAATTTTCATTTTGTCCATACCTGGATGGATTTCTTTGAAAAATGCCCTAGATCTGCAAACATTGCTTCTGATCCTGGAGAACACAGGTTATTAACATGTTAGACAGTGGGGCTTCAAGAACAGATAGCTTGTCACTTCTTAAGGCATATGCCGATACAAAACCTCGAGATGATAAAGCAAGAGAAGTAAACTAATTTCAGCAAATGTGTCTTACCTGCTATACATAACGCAATGCGCCCTAATAGTTTCCAACTTGAAATATCTGCATTCCTAATGAACCTAACAATGTACACTGGAGAGACTGATCTAAGGATTGAGGGGTAACGGGAAATGTTATATATGCCCATCGTGCTGATGAAAACGATCCATATTATGACAACTGGAGCGAAAAGGAATCCAATCTTATGGGTCCCGTACTTTTGCAAAGTGAAAAGGCAAACCAATATAGCACATGCTGTAGGAACTGGGATATCTGTGAATATCATAAAAAGGGTAAAAAGTTTAAGACAATGTTCGATAAATGCAAACCATGTAGATGAAAATGCAGCAAATAAACACTGACACAAACTCAATAATGCAAAAAGTTTGATACACGATCCATAGTAGGAGTACCAGAAAATTTGGATTTTTGCTTAATTTAATGACATTATGGAAATATTCACAAGTGGATTATTATCTGTTAACTTTTGGAAGGTAATTGGAAAATTGTGCAACAGAGTGTTAGAATGAATAGCTAAACCATAGTGAAGAAAACAACAAATTAAACCAAAGCATTAACGGGGTGGAATTGTGTTCAGATTATTACTCACATTTTGTCAAATACTTGTCAATGGAGTCTGCCTTTTCAGAAGAGGCTGCTGCGAATAAAAAATAAGAAAATAAAGTCACGAGTTTTGCATTCATTACAAATTCTGCAAGAAATATCAATTCCAGCAATGTATACTTCTAAAGCTAATTCTTACACTCGCGCAATATCTTTGATATGGAACGTTTCAGAGTTGTGGTTGCTGACAACACTGAAGAGATAAAAAGAAATACCTATAATTAATAATAAACGCTACAAATTTATCAGTAATAACATGATTTAGCTCAAATATACAACAAAGGATGTTAGGTGAGACAAACCAGAAATAGAAGGAGTTAGAACTCCATCGCAGATTATTAAACAAGACCCAACCAGGGCAAGAAGCAACAGAAAATAGTGACAACTTTTATGTTTTTCAATTGCCCATCTCGCTCTAGTTCTCATTTTGATCTTAGATGGGATTCCCTCGTGATGCATTGTCTCAGCAGCAGTTTTATCACTTGGAAGCAGCCCGACTTTGGCATGCCTACACAGCAAGGAATACAATGCAAATGTACCACCTGCAATGATTCAAAACCAGAATTATATAAAATATAAAATAGAAGAAAAATTTAACAAATGAAGTTTGGGCGAGACAATGTCAGATTTTAACCTTCCCCCTGGTCATCAGCCTTCAAAACTATAAGTGCATATTTCAACAAGGGAATGATGGTTAAAGTCCAAAACACAAAGGAGAAGAGTTCATATATCTCCTCCTTTGATTTGACATCCTTTTCGTCAATTGATCCAAATACATATAAAGGAGCAGTGCTCAATCGGCCGTATACCACCCCAAGGCTTTGAAATGACAGAATAATAGTATGTCTCCATGTGTCCTGAAATTTCACAAAAACCTTGTGAAGAAGAACATTGATAATGTGATTGATGGTAAAGCAGTTTTAAGAACGAATTGGTTATTAGTATCATAGATCAGTCTCAACTACCATAGACCCAAGTTTACTGGATACTATTTTGAATTTGTATGCTTAAATATATACAGCCACCTGAATTAAAATACATATCAAGTAAAACTGCAAGCCACATGAAAATCCTCTCTACTTTTTACCCTGAGGGGTAAGAACTACCAGAGTAATACATACAATCCATGTAGCTTTTCTGTTTGCAATATTTCAATTCTGCCCATCCGTTTCAACTTACTTCAAAATTAAAAATGTATTCAAACTATTATAACTATGCTTCAAATTTTCTCCTCAAAATCATATGCTAGAATTTGTCAGAGTCCATAAATCAACTGGAAAAACTGCTAGACTGTATCGTACATCAAAAAAATTTCTTTTACACTGAAGATTTCAACAATTAACAGAAATTGAAAATCAGTTGTGGACTCAAGATTAGAAACGTATTCAAACTGTTACAACTCCACGCCCAGTTTTCTCAACAAATGGATATTTAAACAGTCATCATAACAAGAATTCATAACAAACCTACATAATAGAGAGAGAGAGAGAAAAGGAAATTAAACATGGGTAATCTGAAAACAAGTTGATTACCTTGTTGATAGGGTAAGAGAGAGATAAAGGGCTGAGTGGAGGATCCATAGTTTGAATTTGTTGAAACGAGCTACTAGTCCTACTGTAATATATCGAGTAAATTAAACGTGTAATCAAGCCTCAGAAACAGTGGGTGGCGATTAAAACTAGGGACTGTAGCAGACGACACAAACTAGGAGAGGGAAATATTATAGATTTCATGAAAATGTAGCTTAGGCGAATTGAAGGAATGGTTGATATTACAATGGCGTATACTGTAGTATGTAGTTGTAAAATTATTTGTGAAAGTAGAAAGTCAACAGAAGGAAGGCATCCTTTTCTTCTTGTTTTGAATGAATGCAGATTTGGACGGCCCGCGGTTCCCAGAAGTGTGAATTCCATTTCAACATCCCTGTCTGTCACTGTCTGATGAGTGATGGGCAGATTTGGATTTGGAAAATGAGCATATTTTATTTATAGGCTCCGCGTGCCTTTCCGCCTTAACGTTTCAACTCTGCAGTTTGATTGCAATTATTATACCATTGACCACCGGTTGTAACCGAGACTAGTGACATAAAGTACATTTTTTAATATGAAAAAATGGTACTTTTTTTATTTAGGTGATAATTTTTTCTCCGATATGTTAAATGGACATATTTACCTTTAAAATAAATATTTCATCTATTTTTTTCTCCAATAAATTATAACCACAATTTGGTTCAAACCGAACAGATAGTATAGCAACCAAACAGAAAGGTTCTGATGACAATTTAGAACCGGAATCCAATATTTAGAGTTTATTAAAATCGCGAACCAAAACTGTTAGTTCATGCTTTGAATTGAAAAAATGAAATACATCAATTGTTGAATTTAGAATATTTTAAAAATAAAAAAATAAAATTTTAAAAGAAAGTTTGAACTAGTCGTTCAAATTGGATCCGAAACCGTGAATCGACGATTTAAAATCAAAACCAAATCGCGGTTATATATACTTATATGTGAAAATTAGAATAAATGCAAAAAAAAAAAAAACAAAAAAAAAAAGAACATAAACTATTTGCAAATATTATATTTATAATTTTAAGTTAATGCTAGTAGTTGTTTTTTATTCGAACCTCCAGTTCACGATTTAGGATTCAGTTTTTTCAATTCATGATTTTAATAAACTGAAACCCAAATATTGGGTTCTGGTTTTGAATCATAACCGAAAAATTTTAATTTGATTGCTATATTGAATCGTGGTCATCCCTACGTATAAGCAATAATTTGTTGAAGAAGAAAAGTAAATAAAATATTTATTTTAAGGGTATAAATTTCTATTTAATATATCAGGGGGGGGGGGGGGGGCGGGGGGGGGGGGAATTTGACACTTTAATCATAAATGAGGGAGCTAATGTGGATACATAATAATTCAGGAATAAAAAGTGTTATAAGCATATAATTCAGGAAGAAAAAGTGTCATTTTCTCTTTTAATATATTAAATACTATTTTTTGAAGTTATATTATTTAAATACTAAGTTATATTTATTTGGAATAAAGGATCAAATAAGTCATTCAACTACAGCAAATTGCAATTAGTTCATCGAACTCATAAAAATTATAATTAGGTTCCCAAACAATGCAACACTAAAATATCATTTTAATTTTACTATAGTTTCATTTGACAATGTAACGTGATACGTCATTAGTTCACAATAACGGCAAAAAAAAAAAAAAAAAAAAAAAAAAAAAAAAAAAAAAAAAAAAAAAAAGGCATCGTGTTGGACCATGGTCTACCTTAAAAACTATACCGTATCACGAGTCTCAATCCATGAGACGAGTTGGGTCATGAGAATTTGAATGTTATACTAGGACTAACAATATGCCAAATACAAAGCCTATGATTTGGACTTGGAAAGACTTCCGTGATTACAAAGTCATGGCATAACATTGATTAGTCATTATTGTTTGTGGACACCTACCATCCATAGCTCAAAGAAATGTTATGAACAACTAAACAAAATATTCTATCCTCTCATTTAGTAAAAAATTGCAACCAAACTTTACGTTCATGTAGTGGTGATTCATACCTATAAAAGGGTCACAAATCATATTGTACCTATTGATATTGGTATGATATGTTGTATCATGTACTATTAAGTCCCCAAACAACCCATAGTCGTCCTTCATTTTATGCATCCCTCCAAAAAAACAAAAAAAACAAAAACAAAAACAAAAAAACAAAAAAAAAAACAAAAAACAAAAAACAAAAAAACAAAAAAAGCTACATAATCTTGCATTCCCTTCCACTTCAAAGTTAAAGAAAAATTCAGTTTCATTCGTTTGTCTCCTCCTAAATATCTCAATCAAAAAATTAAAATTTGTACCATCTAAAGTCTTCATTGAATCTATGCATATGGAATTGTATATATGCATCCTTAGAAGTAAATCCAACAAACAATGAATCTCTAGACTGATTTTTTTCTTTTAAAAAAATGAATATCATCCAATATGGTAACTCTACATCTCTACTCCTCTTCGGTTCTTTTAAATAAGTCAATTGATTCACATAAACATTTCTATGGGACCTAAGTAAATAGCTTGTAGAAGTTGGACACGTACAACTCATGATTGTGGTTGTTTACATGTTTGGTCACATTCCACCACCCATTATAATTGACATCAAATTGACACTATGCATTACATCATGTTCCTTGTATCTACCTTTGTATAAGACCTTAGTTGATTTTTCTGATCTTACTTGCTTTGAACCTAGCCTTTGAACAAAAGAAAATTTTCATCTTCACAGTTCGACTACCAACAACATAATATTGCTTTCCCTTCCTAGTACTAAATCTCATCCTAAATGCATAATCATTGTACATATCATATGCTTCTTCAATTGAACTAACTGAAAGGCCCAACAATTTTTGATTGATTGTAAAATTTAAAAGTGAACCTTTAGTGTTTCTATAAAGAACATATTGTGTGCAGAAAATGAAACTAGAAACACATCTCATAGAGATGGAATTGAAATGTAGTTGAAATGATACTATAGTGTTGCTAGAATGAGACTATTGTGTTTTGAAAATGAAACTAAAAATCATGTTTGTATAACAATTGTAGTGTTTGAATTAATTGAAAACACAAATAAATATAAAACCTAAAATAGATGAATTCTCATCATTTTCAAAAAAAGATGAATTCTCATCAATAACAATTGGGGAAGTAGCATCAACTGCAATCCAATGATTATCATCATCTGCAACAATAGAAACTCCAAACTAAAAAACATAGCTCATACAATAACGCATATTGTCGAATGAACCTAAAGTTTAACTAAAATGACACTACAAGGTTGATAAAATGAAACTAATGTGTGTTTAAAATGAAACTTAAAACAGAGCTCATACAATATAAAACATTATCAACTAAAACTGAAGTGTAGTTGAAATGATACTTCAATATTGCTAGAATGGAACTACTATGTGTTGAAAATGGAACTGAATAGCATGCTTGTGAAACAAATGCAATATTTGAATGAAAACACAACTAGACGCAAACCCTCGAATGGAAAAATTCTCATTAATAGAGTTTGGAGGAATAACTAACATCAACTGCAATCGGTGAACTCGCACCAATTGTGATCAGATGATTATCCTCAACTACAACAACAAACACTCCAATCCTACTAACATCAATTCTACTTGTTTTTTATATTTCCACTTGCTCGTGACTTCTTCGTGTCTTCAATTCTTCATCTTTATATAGGTGTTTGAGAATTTGTACATTGAAAAAAAAAAAAAAAACAATCTGAAATTTCAAACTTTGCCGGCTAATCTTGTGACACCCCGAAATCCAAATTCGATTAAGGGATTAATTAAATAATTAATCCTATTTCAATTGGTAATTTAATTCCTAAAAATTCTGAAAATTCAATAGTCGGGGACTAGTAATTGACTAGTCAACCCCAAAGTCAAGGTTGTACCTTAAGCTTTGTAAGGAGTTCCCTTGTTCCCTTACACCTCTTCATGTTAGTAAGGGTATTCTTGACTTTTCACCTTGTGTTAGTAATGTATGCTAACCTAGTAGAACACCCTCATTTCTCTCCTTACACTTTCCAAATTCTAGCTCTACCTTCTCTCTAAAAAGGTAGATAGCTTTTCTTCCAAGCCAAGTAGAAGCTTTGTCAAATCTTCAAGAGTTGTCTCCAAGATTCTACCTTTCATACATTTGGGCATCTAGGAGGGTAAGATCTATGTTCATCTTGTGTTTTTAGTGTTTTCTAAGGTGTCTTTTCTTAAAGATAGAATCTTTATGATCTTTTGGTGTGTTCTTGAAGTGGGTTTGGAAGGTGAGCCCTATTAGGAGCTTGGTGAAGTGTTAAGTGAAGGTTTTTGTCTTCAAGAGGTAACCCATGCTCTACAAAATCTATTTTGCTTACCTACATGATGATTTCTTGGATTCTACATGTGATTTTGCTATGAAATGTGAGTGTTTATGCATTGTCTTGTGAAAATGCATATCTAGAGCTTGTGTTTAGGGTTCTTTTATGCCATTGCTTGGCTATTCCTTTGATTCAAGTCATTTTGTTGTATTTGGTGAGTTTTGGCATGTTTTGGACTTGGAGTTGAAAATCCCCGAAGGGATTATTTTGTGCAGGTATACGTACCCGCGGGCGGAACGGCGGGTAGGCGTCCACCCGTCGCCCACTCGTGGGGTACAAGTGGCCGGTGGGTAATGTACCCGCGGGCGGAACCGCGGGTAGGGGCCTACCCGTGGGTCCATCCGCGGGGTACACTTCGGTGTATGTTCGGGATTTGTTCCCCGTGATTCGTTTGACTCGGTATTTGGTCTTTTCACTTCCCGTTGTTCTTTTGTGGAACTATTTGAGTGTCTTCTTGATGTTTCGTATGTCTAGAACTATATGGTAGGAATTCATGTAAGTTTTGGTGTCTTGAATCGTGCTAAGTGTTCAACATTGTGTTTCGTTGAATCGTGATGAGTCTTGTGTGTTCTTCAGAACTACGTTTGGTTTACCCGTTTGTTAAGCATGCTAGTTCGGTGTTTAAATGCTAGCGTGTGTGTCGTTTGTACCTTCCGATTGTTGATGATGACTTGTGTTATTCATCGTTGTTGTTGGACTGTGATCCATTCCTTGATTGAGTATGGTTTCATATCTTCGTTGTGATCCGTTGATTGATTCCTGTTGAGGTGTGATGCGTGTGTGGCTTTACCTGGATTGCACGATTAGTGGTATGGGACACTAGTCACCAAGGTATTGCATTGGTCCTCGTGGTGGCCATGACGTGATTACGGAGTTTGTGACCTGTGTGTCGGGTTCACGTATTTCTTGGGAGGCATGTGTTGCCGTGTGTGTGATCGGTACCCTCGTGTACTATGAAAT